GCATTTTTTTCCTCTACCATATATGTCTCATCATTTCATTGTTGGAAGTGATCCACGGTTGCCTGACTTGCCTGCCTGAAAATGTATTCAAATGAGGGGTACAAAAGGACAGGATAGGACAGGGCCATATTTCTGATTTCTACAGAGCAGCCAGTGACGAAGCATGGAAACCCAGCTTTGCTGAAATTATGCCCAAAAGTGGACACAGACCAGGATTTTAAGAAATTATTTCTGGGAGTTTCCTATCAAAATTTCGAGATGCTCTGAAGGACTACGTATCCCTATGACACTTAACCATCTCATTCAATTATAAAATAATGGTGTGAGCACAAAAAGCTGTTTCTGTTCCAGTTTACAAGGTTTTGAAAATGGGAAAAACCTTTTAAATGCTAAAATCGTGAGTTTGCCGAACTCTGTTTCTTAAACTTATACTAAAGCACTTTCTTTTGCTCTGTTAATTCTCTGGATAGCTTTCTGTAATCTTACTCCTCAGGGGTTTAGTACCTTTTTTCTGCCTTCATTTATTTCTGGTCAGTTTGAGAACCTTTGGTTTTATGCAAGTGTTGTCCTTTGGCTTAGTATCTTTTTCTTCTTGAAGTATTTTTAAACAGCAGCACGTCCTCTCCTTCCAGCCCTTGTTTGTTAGATGAAACAAACCATGGTCTCTTAATCTTCCCTTTGGCAGCCCTTCTTTGCATCTGTTTTAGTCTGAATATCTTTTTCTCTAATAGCAGTGACCAAAACTGTAATTATATTCAACTGCTGCTGCCTGCGCCTTGTGCAATAGAATCAGTATCTTTGTATCACTGCTGGAACTGACACTGACAAGAAATATCCTAAAATTAGCGATCACACTTCAATACTTTATTTTCTTTCCTTTGATAATTAAAACTCTGTCAATTAAGATCTCCTTCTGCATAGCTAATTAGAAACTAAGAGATGACCTAGGGCCTTTTTCTGACTTTGCATAAAGGGAGATAATTTTATGATTGTACCTTTTCATTTCCTGGTCTGGACTCTTTCATCCTGCCTTTCAAATCAGAGCAAGGACATTATGTCGGTTTTGCAAAGATTTGCCATTATCACCTCTAAACTAAGCATGAGCTTCCTGATTTGCTTTCCAAGATGCCAACCTGGCATATTCCAAATGGGAACACTCATCTGGGCAGACAAATCTTGTCTTCTCTGACTTCATCAGTGACCTGGAATACTCATCTTCCATCTTCTTGTGATTTCTTACTCTAGATTCAAAATTCATATCAGTATTTGATTTTTCACGTTTGCTCACATTTCCTGGCTAAGGAATTCTCTGGTGCATTGGTACACATACTTATTTTTGTAGCTGTGACTGCTGACTCAATTCCAGTTTGTTAACTGGGTAACTGCACAGCGTTCCCATGGGTACTTCTTTGAAGCAGGATTCCTTGAACGTGATGCTCTGCATTAGATTATTCCTTCTCCCATTGTTAATTTTACAGTTTTATTCTTCAGAGGCACTTTTGTCATTCTAGCCTGTTTTCTTCTGAAATCCATGCTGCACTTAAATCTCATTGTTCAAATTATTTATATACTTCCTAGATTCACCTGCAAATAGAATTATCATGTTCTTCCATCCATCCAAATGATTAATAATAATATGCTAGCTTTGGACCCAGCACTAATCCCTCTGCTCCCTTTCAAGAAACCCTCTTAAAAGAGTTTTTCCTTATTTGGCCAGCCCTTATTCCATTTTCTTCTATTGAAGCATCATGCGGGACTCCACATCTAATGCCTCAATAAACTTCCTGAAAGTAGTTTTCCTTTGTATACGGTGCTGTAGGAACACATTCACTGCAGTCACGATTCCTTGCAAACTGCTAATATGTTTTTTGAAGCAACTGAAAACTAATTACAGCTAGAGTGATAAAACTGTTGCGCCTGCACATTTTGAAGTGGTTTAGAGAGGAAAGCAAACTCCTCATTAGTGCCTGATAGACAGTGCAGCACTTGCAACACTGAGGATCAAAGAGTGCCATTTGAAAGGGTTCAATACATGCATCTTATGAATTTATACACAGTGGCCTAAAACAGTCTGAATTAATTACTCTATAGCTCAACTCAATTCCATCTGTACTTTTAAAAGCCACACCGAAGAAAAAATACTGTTACAGCAATAAAGAGGGTGAATGAAGATAAGATAGTAGCTTCCAGCAAAAACAGTGTAATCACAAATCCAGATCTTGCCCTAACTGAAATAAACTCCTCCTTCCCTCTCCTGAAGTCAGCAATATGTAGAAAATTAGCAATACGTTGACCTCATCAGTTTAAGAGCTACCATTTTTTTACCCTCTGTAGTCACAAGAGTGAACCAGAGTTTTCATGGGAGATTTACCTAGTGGTGTTGCTATCACTTATCTTTACATGCATGTACTCTATCTCAAATATTAATATTTATGTAACTCACAACCAGATTTCCTTTAGTGCACACTAGAAATTAAAATCAAGCTTTAGAGACTTAAAGCACGAAGCCTATGCATGACATAAGCTCATGTCCTGGTTTCTGGGCTGAAGCAAGACACACTGGGCTTTTGCAGAGAGGAAGCAACCAGCTACAAGTACCATTTTGTGAGTACCCTTCTGAAGGCAAAACAGTACTTGCTTTCACTCCTATGAGTTGATTATATGCATTTATGTACACCCACTTGGAAAGGCCACCTCAAGTAACATGGAGAAAATGTAGATATCTCTGGAAGTATATTGTGATTTCATAAATATGAGATCTCAACAGTCAGCCAAACAGCTGCGCTCACCAGCCTACAGTCCGTTTAATGCTTTTTTCAACAGAGCTGTAGCGGAAGCTTTGTAGGAAGCTCGTGAAGAAGTTGAAACAACATATATAAATAAAGCTAATTTGAGCTATTCTGTGCTCATTCGAGAGAGGCAGCTTTCCTGGTTAGTTTACATTCTCTAATCAACTCCTAGTATAATGTTAAATTTACTCATCAGAAGAGTAGGGACCACTTAGAGAACTCAATGAAGAATTCTTGCATTAAAGCAAACAGAAACAACATTCCACCTGCAAAACCTAGCTCAGTATATGCACTTGCCCCACTATCTTAACATTAGTAACACACAGGCTTTATTTGTATAGACATTAAATGGAAATGTAATCACTTTGTTCACTACAGGTAAGCAGCATTTTCTTAAATAAATCTTATTCCAAAAAGCTATGACCGGAGACTTATGAATTCAGAATAATGCCTTTGATAGCCTTATGGATGACACCCTTCGTTCTTTTCCAGGGAAAGTAATGTATTACATATGTTGCTACATAAGACTATCCTACATTGTCTTTTTTGATTTAGGATGCTGGCAACACAGCTCAACTCTATACAATGTGTGCTGATCAGAATAATGTTGACATTTTTTATATGCCTAAACTATCTCACATCAATGGAAGAGACTTGATCTCTTGTTATTCTTTTACTCAGTTCATAGCAATTGGAATAAACAAGGGAAGCTGTATAAAGTACAGTTGCATCAAGATCATAAAACATTTCTTTTAGGATTTTTATTGCCTTATTCAAGGAACTACTTCTAGCATTCACAATTAAAAAAAAGGAGGGGTAAATGAGTTAAATGCTTTCTTTCACTTCTTAGCTTTACTTTGCTGTAGCTTTTAAACTTTTTTTTCTATTTCTCCTCTTTTTCCTTGCTGACATATGGAATGACAAAAGGGCTTCTATAGTCCTTATGCACCTAGAATTTGTTTGCATTGGGAACAACTTAAAAATATGAAGGCTACAGCTTACGTACTGATGACACTTACTAGCTTCATTGGCAAGAACAAGTCAGAGAACTGAGGGAGCACCAGAGAAGTATGGATATCCAAGTAAAATGACACAGGTAAAAACAAATGTCAGATTGAAAAAGGAACAGCCTAAATCAAACATTTTCTTGCACAGTCACAGAATACTGCGTAGCAACTCCCAATAACAGAGATTTAAGACAAGTACAGAAGGGGACTATCAAAGTAAGTGTTATTTTTAGTAGATAATGCAATGGCAGGTGATAAGTCCCAAAAGGCAAAGTAACATACACACCATTTTTTTGGTGAAGCTGGGCATTTTATCTACTGCATAAAAGATACATTTTTATCTAGTAAATATTTTTATGTACTGTGGCTGTCTACCAAGAGGCAAAAACTCACCCAGAAACCTGTCAGGCAATCTTATTAAACGGGTACACGTCCAGCCTGTGACAGCAGCTGGGACTAACTCAAAATTCACTGCAGGCATACTGTTTCTAAGAGCTGATGTGTACCTTCCTGTTGCTGAAAATGCTACACTGATGTAGTAAGATCATAGTAAGCTTTAAATGTAACTTCACAACTCTAAGGTAATGTCAAAAGGATGCAGATATGAAAGTTAAGAGACAAAAGGAAATGCAGAATTTAT